CTGCGATCCTCGGGAAGGAACGCGAGGCTCTGGGATAATCCGTTTCAGGGAGGAATCTGATTGGCCGTTGAAATGGAATGCGTAGTTCAATCTTAGCCAGAATTCCTGGCTTCCGGTGTCACAGTGATATGAGTATCCCCGTGTTTTGTGTATCCCCACACTAATATCCCTAGGGATAAAAGTACCCCCGGTGGGGATACCTACAACACTAGAAGCGAAAGGATGCAATCAGTGCTCTCACTTTTAAGGAATTATCCTTAAAAATAGGAATTTTGAAGAGTTTTAAGGATTTTTTTAAGGAATTTAGGTTTTTGAGGATTTTTTTAAGGAATTTCCGAAACATTTTATCCTGGACTAAAAACGATGGACGGAGGATGGATAACCACGCCACGCAAATGAGATTTAAACTTGAAAGTAGCAACATTATACGCACATAATTAGGGGGGCTAGGGGGCCCTGAGCCACCCCCTCTCCCCCCGATAATTTTGAAAGACTGCAAAAATCTTGTACCAAATAACACAAATCACACTCATATAACATAATTGTTATCATAATATAATAGTATATGTTTCTGTACATGGCTTGGTATGTGATTTATAACAAAACGCGCCATTAAAACAGTGTTTTGAAACCCTAGTTTTTTACAAAATATGTTCTCAGAACGCTGCAAATGCCATTTCCGGGATTCAAATTTTCAAATTTTTCCGTGCCTTTGGCACGAGCCCCCCCCCCCCATATTTCGTAAAGTGTCTGCCAGTGGTCTTTTCATTAATTAAAATTCTCAAAAGTTAAATGTCAGTATATGCTGTTTCTTCTGAAATCTGCAGATTTTTTATACTCTTCATGCAGCAACGATCACAAATACATCATGTTGAATGTTTTCTTTATGGCATTATGTTAACAATCAAATGTTTTCAATTTTTAGTGCTTAGAAACAAGGTTATAAAAGCTGAAAAACAGAAAAAAGGGGAAAAAACACTTTTTGCAACTGTGTGATTTAGGCCTTGTGGTAATTTTACCAATTTAAGGAATTTTAAGGAAATCTGAGGAATTTTCGAGTTTTTTCTAAGGAATTCGAAAATTTGATTGTGAGAGCACTGGATGCAATATTCAAAATATGAGCAGGAGGAAAGTCATTTATCTGTGCCTTTATTTTCCGGTATTAAGTATTTACGTTTTTACAGTTATTAAATGCTGCAGTAAATGTGTATAACGTGATTGTGCTTACGTCAAAGATAGCATGTTCGCGTCGCATAAATTGGTGTAGAACAGTGTAGAATTACTCTTAACATTAACTCATATGGCTCCGTATTACTTGATTTCCGACGTATATGACAGGAAGTTTAAATATTACAGAACTCCGCGAGTATTTGCAGTAGAAATACGAAAGTACCACCAAAAAAATCCGCTTGAAAAGTTCTATGAAATCGAACAATGTAAAATAGCCAGTAAATGATAAACTATGCATACTTGAACAATGTAAACTAACCATACCATACTATATACAATAAACTCGAAGTGTAAACAATGCATCACTAAGCCATACCTTTCGCCGAATATAACTTCGGCCCCTTTCAACATATATTTTTGGTATTAGTCTTGTTCGAAACACAATCCAACACGCTATTTAGAGTGTTATTTTCAAGCTTGCATGTGCAGTTCTGCATGTTTTATTTCCCGCGAAATGTTAGGGACACTTGTATCCCTAGTGATGTGGGAATGTAGGGTGGGTCTTTAGGGATACGCAGAACACGACCGCCATATTGCCGGGGATACACATATCCCTAGTGAGGTGAGCATGGGGATACACATATCCCTAGTGATATTAGTAGGGGATACACAAAACACGGGGATACTCATATCACTGTGACACCGGCAACGGATTATCCCAGAGCCTTCGTTTGGATATAGATTCATGTCTCGCTAATAGGGTTAGCGGTTAGGGTTAGGGTGGGGATTAGGGTTAGTATTATAAATAGCGAGACATGAATCTATAACCCTTCGTTTCCTTCCCGAGGATCGCAGGCTCGGGGAACGAGATTGGCGTTTTGTTTGCTGTTCGGTTATATAGTACCCAGGGTAGTTAAATAGAGAAACTGACTCTTAATTATATAAAAGTACCTTGAATTTTTAAGTTTAATTAAAAAGCAAAATGCACACTTTGCGAACATGTTCATGAGAATATAAATTTTTTTTGTGCAATGAAATCTACAACACTTGTCAATCATATTGCATGTTGTGCCTAAAAATAACATGTGGGCGTCCCACGGTCTAGACAGGTTTTGTGTCAGGCCCTATTTCAAATTAGGGCCTGAACTTCAGGTTAGTTCGGCTATTTAATTTATAACCGAGTTACAAAACACGAGGTCTGTTAGTTGGTTTATTACGTCACCACTGATGTCTTAGAGTATCTCTTAGATCTTCATGATATGGAAACCGCCGTGAAACAAGGCATTAACTGGTGAGGCATTTGCCTCAGTAAGCCCCTTTCTCTGCCCCACCGCTGAAGAAAAAAATGACCTATTGCCTCAAAGCCAGGGCCCTAAGACCTGTATTGAGTAAATGAGTTTAACATTAATTTAAAAAACAAAAATGGGTGGTGAGCATACTTATGTTGTGTTTGAATGTTTAGCATGCAATTTATTACAAATTTCTGACCTTTCAAACTTTGTTTTGAGAAGCTGAGATTTTTTGTGTGTTCTCAGAATGCAGGAAATGCTATTTGAGACCCAAATCACAGTATAGGAAAAGTACAGTAGGGCCACTCAGCGTAAAAAAGTGTCTACATTGTTTACTGGCTGCCAACCTAATTTACATATTGGCAGCCAGTAAACGGCAGCAGTCCACTATAACATTGTACTACAGAATAATGATTTTGGCCGCGTAAGACACCTGGAACCTAGCTTAAATAATTGCCACTTTTCTCTCCCCTAAGCGGCCCTACTGGTTGTCTCCCTATACTGTGCCCAAATTTTAAAAATTTCCTGAAGGAGCATGCCACCAGGCCAGACCCCCTTACCTAACTCGTGCCTGCGGTATTTGGGTAACACCTTCGGCAATCGCATACTATCCTGGGGGGAGGGCAAGGACAATGGGCCCTTTGGCAGTTTTGCCTCACCACTGAAGAATCCTTAAAAAATACACTGCCGTAAAACGACAGTTTCTAATCCACTTAGGAACATTTTCGCAGAAAGAAAATTTAAAATGTGATTGGCCGACACAAATTTTCAGTCGGTAAAAAATTTTGAAGTTGAAAATTTTCAATTTTTAACAATGATATTTTCGGACAATTTTCTGTCCGTGGAAATTTTTCTTTAGGGAAAATGGGCCGTAATACTATGAATGTATACAGTATTATTATTATTACATGAAATATATATGTATACACGCAGACTAATAAGATGTCCTTACCTCTCGCAAAAAGTATCAGTTTTCCCTATTAGCTCTATTAAAGTGTTTTATACCAATCTCGATTGATTTAACACAATAAAGGCCACTCTTCAGTGCGTTCCACGCATGCGTATTTCATGCTGAAAAACTGATAAACCCAAGTGTCAATCCACCAGCCACGCAGAGATTGCACTTGTTGATTTCATTAGTGCTTTTCGTAAACTTGACTTTAGCTTTAAACCAAGTGTTTTGGCTTAGTTTTCGAGTGCAGATTCTCAGAGTCTGCAGACACTTTTCAAATTTACTCGAGAGCACAGGAAACAATAGTTTGAAATCGAGGACAATGTAATCCATTCTATTGTAGCCAAAACTGCACATATGCATTGACAAAACAAACTTCCTCACCTCCTCTTCCCTGGTTCAATATTGCAAACAACGCCAAAACAACTTTTTATAATTTACCTCGAGACAAGCTCAACATTGAGTTGGGGGAGCGCGAGGTCTTAATAAAAGTTAATAAGCAGCGCACCATGATTCAGGTTAGAGATTAAGCGGGTTTGTGAGGTTGAGTCGACGAGGTGAGACTGCGTCTGCTTTCTTTTCTTTAGTCCGAGTGAGTCGGCTTTATAGACATGTCAGGAAGAGGCAAATTCAAGGACTTTTCAAGGATTTTCAAGGCCATATATCAGGAAATTCAAGGACTAAAGGCTGAAAAGAAGGCGTTAGAGTCAGTAAAAAGTGACGTTAAACTGTTCAAACGGCAATTAGCAAATTGGAATGGATTTTAAGTTTGTTTCTCACGGGCTATGGTCAGAGGAGCAGAACATCCTTCTTCAACACATGCATAAAAAAGAATTTTGGATTTTGACCAATAAATGTGGAGTAAGGCCCCTTAGCCTCGTTTTCGTGTTTAAGCTTATTTCCACATTTATTGGTCAAAATCCAAAATTCTTTTTTATGCATGTGTTGAAGAAGGATGTTCTGCTTCTCTGACCATAGCCCGTGAGAAACAAACTTAAAATCCATTCCATTCAAGGTGGTCCTAAGTTGAAAACAGTATAGTTGTGACGTAATTACCGGAAAGGTCTAATGCCTGGTATAATATAAACGGCCTGTGTCAGTGTACTTAGTGCCAATAAGAAGATTGAATAAGGACACAACAACCTTACCTGAAAAAATACAAGGACAACTTCGACGTTTCGAGCGAATGCCCTTTGTCGGAAAATTAGTAGCGGGTGTTGGGAAAATAACACAAAGGCCTTCGCTCGAAACGTCGAAGTTCTCCTTGTATCCTTCGTTTTCAGGTACTTGCATCCCTATTAATCCGAAGTTTTCTTAAATTGTCAGGTACTTTGATAGTTCATAAAACACCTTCCAAATTTACACCCTATACGAATTCAAATTGCGTTTCAAACCTTCCATTTTTGTGCGCAAGCCATTTAGCGAGAGTTGAAACTCTCATTAACTCTCAACCTCGTTTGACCGGCTTTTAAGTGCATATATCTCTGCGAGTTATTAAAAAGCACACTGGAACTGCAAGGATTCGATTTGTTGTTCTTCACCGTCAATCGCACATCAAGAGCTAGCTATAAAGGTTTCACGCCAGTTAGGCATCAACCAATGTTGCAATGTACCACTACTATGGTTGCTAAAGACCTCATTTACTATATTTCGACGTTAGAAGTATTTCTTTGGTCATACGGACAGCTTCGTTGCCCTGCCTAATTGCTGACGTCTGAGACCCTCAATTTCTGCACGTGCATGAAATATCCGAAATATGCACTTGTAATTTACATATATACCAAACAAATTAAGGTCCCCAGGGGTTTCACTCAGTTTTAACTCGAAAGGCTGAATATAAACTGATCGAAAGCCAGAGGGCTTCAATTTTCAAGACAGCCGTTTTCAATCTAAAAGACTGAAACACCAATCGATTGGAATTTGGAAAGTTTACAATTTCGTATAATTAGGCACTTTTAATCGTTCGTTATTCATCCCTTTCTTTTTGGCATCGAATGGGAGAATGGGCCTTATTCCCATTCGATGCCAAAAAGAAACAGCGGGATTCTTAAACCAATGGAAAGACAATGAAACTTTCCGATCAGATGGTACTATTGTTATTCTAAAGACCGGTCATTATTTATGGCGGGGGTTTGCACCGAAGAGAAAACTAGAAAAGGATTGGGTGAACAAAATTTTGAGTGAGTAAAAGGTTGGGTAAATGAAAAACCAAACAACTCAAGGGTTGGGTAATAAGAAGTTATTGTCATTTCCAAAGCATGACTCACTCAAACATTAAAGACTAAAAAGCAATGTCAACAGTCATATGTCAACACAATATGTATAAAATCAATCAGAGTCACTATCTTGATATTTTCCGATTTGTCAGGAGGCAAATGGTGTCTCCAAAGAAAGTACATGTGCAGACAACATGAAACTTTAGACTGCAGGGAATTGCACAAGCAGTTATCAAACTCGTGTCACAGAAGTGGTAAAGGACACGTTTTTGGCCTGCAGGGGTATTATTTTTATTTGATATCGAGGTTGCAGGGTAAAATTTTTTTGACTTTTCAATAGTTGGATCAGCAAAATTTTTACCAAGAAAAACATTTTCCTTCGCTGCCACCCGACACGAAGGCAGTACTCGGCAAAAGCCCAATAAAGACAGGCTTTAGGCTAAAACAATTTTTTAAAAATTGTTAACCAATAAATTTATGGATACATACTGAGAAATACTTATATTTAGTAAACTTGCAAGTTTGTAAATTACTTATAAATTGATACATTATTATACATATGATACACCAGAATTCTCATTATGATACATAATTCTCAAACGGAGCCGATCATTAGAAAAGTGTTGGGAGG